CGATAATGAAGTTTATTCTACCACCTATTCACGGCTAAAGGTCGACCAGTATAACATAAATTATCAGAAGATCTAAGCGTCAACTCAGCACCAAAGATGGGGATTTCAATGAATGCCAAAAGCAGACCAGTTGAAGTTAGGACGAGAGGACAAGAGCACTTACCAAACCAATGGCTGACGAAGTTGACGGAGAAAGCGAAAGCGGTGAGTAGGGAAATGATTACAATACGACAGAGAAAGAGTTATTGCGGACTATCCACCGTATTCTTAAAATCCAACAATAAAACTTACTCAGGACATTGAGACAATTTGACCAATTGCCTCTCTCAAAAGTGAGATACCACAGTATGTATTTGTTTGTTAAGCCGTTACCAACAAATCTTGCACATTAAAATAACGACCCGCGTGATACACAAAACTTTCCCAGACATCCAGATTAACTCCAAATTCAAATTCATTCAAACGTATTTTCCTTGATGAGCAAATAACCCGAGTTCATCCACCCACGTTTCCATTCCACTTTTAGTTTCCAAGCGACTATTTGGCATTTGGTTATTCGGCACCATGATTAGTCACTGGTTAGCACCAGAAGGAATGTCAGGGTTTGATGGTAGAAGAGTGTGATAGTTATTGGCACATGCCATGTTGGCAAGAAGCACTTGCTGTACTTCCACCGCGACATCCCATTGCCACACGATGTAGATGTAAACCAATTGTTTCTTTATTCATATCTAGCACTACCTAACACTGCTCGTGTCAGTAGTAATGTATAATTCTTTACTACGATCAAGATTAGAGAGTTTTCTTTAATGGCGACTGGCCATTAAAATCACTCTATCGTCAAGTGGGATGAGGCAATGTCAATGCGACATCAATCTTTGCAGTTTTGCAAGACAGGCATACTCGTATATTGCAGTAGACAGGCTCCAATACCATCCAAGAGATAAGATAAGAGGATTGCAAGACTAAAGAAATTTTGGATAGTTGATTTTACAAGCCCTCAAATGTCGCTCCAAAGCACAATAGCGAATAGAACATTATCATTAGTAAATACTTTGAGCAGCATGTTGGCTCAGAAGGCCTTCACAAAAAACAAATAAAATGAAAGATGTGAGACAAAGCCATGGCTACTGAAAACGGTCAACAGCAAAGTGGTACAGTGCCTCCTATTTACTAGATTTACATACTCTCTATCGAAACAAAACGTTCAACTTGATAATAAACAAGACGAGGGTATTAATAGAGTGACTTGGCATTTCTTTGGATGTAGGTTTAACTGCACAAAATTGCACCCCACAGCAGGTGTACTTCTGTTTGGTGGCACAATTCCCCGCCTATACCTCTAGCCCCCTCCCCAGTTCACATGGATGTCACTAACAAGTTATCTTTCACATTGGTATCGTTCTGTCGAGATTTCAAAGGGGACTTGGTCGGCCAAATTAGCGATAGCACTTAATGAACTTAATTTAAGTGAGAAACAAACCTGATTTTGTTATCACCTTGCGACACCCAAACCTTCCGAGCGAAAGGTATCCACTGTGCGTGGTTGGATCCGTAAGGACTCGCTGTAGACGGAATAAAATGTAGTTTACCTCTAGCACATCTTCCAGTTCAGGTAGGGCACAATAACCATTGGTGAAGAGAGACTAAGGTCCCACGAGTCGCAGTCGGCCTCAAAGCATAAAGTACTACATTTTCCGGAATGAAACCATTTGCCTCTTGATTTGATAAGAAAGCATCTCTCTTCCCGATGTGGTGCTTGGGTAAATGGTACTACAACATTGCGAATAAGATGCGGTGAGTAGGATGTCCGGCCTTTCCCACTATCTCCCAAATAAACGCTTCCCGATGCAATTTGTCTGACAGAAAATACAGCAACCAGAAATCCTCTCACTACTTTAATTGTCATTAGGTTAGCTCTTTGTTTTGCTTTCACGGGCATCTAATGCTCCAGCTTTGTATTTTGCTGGTCGGCGTGGTCCCTAGGCAATGCCAGTAATCCTCGATGCAGCCCTACTCAGCATCACGTATTGTGTCATCCCTCACTTTCAAGAATGTCTCAGGGTGCTACAATCCCAACGAAATCTACAGTAGGCCCAACAGCTCAGGTAGCAATGCTCTAATATAATGCTTTAGTCGTATTTATTATTATTTATACTTAGGCAGTAAATTATTTCAAAACAAAAAACAACTTTAGGTAAAGCGAGTCATTTGAGAGTCGTAGTGGCGAATATGTGAAGGAATAAATCACTAACTCTGTCCCTACAGTGCCTTCTAGCGTTGATGGTAACAAGCTTGGCAACAAAGCTTATTCATGCCGTCTGACACCTCCTCTATCAAGAATGATAAAATTTCTAGCTGATAATACCAAGAAAGCTTGTGAAAGCCACCATTTCCTCTCAGAAGAATAACCGATGAGGTACCACCCACCACCCATGCAGCACTCAGCTAGCGTGCTGAATCTGGCCCCGCGTATTAGCGTAGTGGGCAATTGGTGTAAGGATCGGGTAGGAAGAAATACCTCGCTTCCCACCTGACAAGGGGAACTAACAATCAACCCTCAAAATACGCTTCTATCAAAATTAAGAATGAAGCCATTTGAGAGCGGAGAGGCGCGAAGATGTGTGATGCTGAGATAGCCATATCGCTCCCATTTCATTAGTAATCTTGGTTGCAAGACAGGTATGGTAATCGCCTTACTTTATACTAGAAATTAACCACTTTAGTCCTTATGGCTGAGAATATCCCTCTCATAAGTTGATTTGAGGGCGGAACATTCAAATGTAAAGTCAATCAACAAAAACACACAAAATTATTAAAAGCAGATGATTTCAAAGGAGTCATTTTAGTTTCCCAATTTTGTAAATTGGGAAACTTGATTTAAGAATGGAAAACAATTAGAATCTCTTGCACGTTGTCTACCGATGTCATACCTATGTATCGCCTCAATTTTTCACCTTAACACCGTAACACAAATATGCGATGGATTTCCTGCCTGGATAGGGTAACCGATTGCACAAAATTGTGCCAAACCAGAATGACTGAGAATAACTGCATTTGTAGCTGGTCAGTTTGTTGATGCAGTAATTTGTATAATGAAATGTAACAACGGAACACCTCAAATTAGTTCACGCATTTTCCCCCAGGACCCTAGCAGTTAGTGTTTCTATAGTATAACTTCACCAAATTATCTTTTTCTACCATGGAAGTCCTCCAAAAATATCAAAAACTTTTTGTCATACCACATTAAAATTGGAGTTACTCACAGACGGCCCACCAGGTACTCTACGACCTCTCCAGCCCAAATAACTCGAAATTTGAAGAATTCGAGACAAAAGTGGATGGAAAAACTATTCCTTTTTTACCATAACGGCTGTAGGTGAGATAAAGGTATACCGCAGCCAGAGCTAGCGCACTTGAAAGCCGGCGCCTTACAATTTGACTTACCTAAGCCACATTCTCTTACATCGAAAGAGAATTCGGTACGTTGTTAATTTATTATAGACCCTCCTTTCACTGCAAGCAGATAACAAATAGAGAAAACAGATATTTAGAAATTAGTTGAAGATTTATTAAAATGGCTGTTTCTAGAAGGGCGAAACACATGAGTCTGCAGGGCACCTCTTGAGATCAATTTAGTGGACACTAATTCTCAAAATCAGGGCGGACCGAAGCGGTTCACATTTCTTCCAGCCGGTTTTGTGATGAAATTAAAGCTGATCGGCTCAGACACGACATGATATTTCTTGAATCGTCAACGTTTACCGCGATATGGCAAAGTGAGTTGCCACATTTCTCGTGTGGATCAGTCCACCAATGCAATATCCCTTATTCTGGTATCTTCTATTTTCCGCCGACTTCGAACTCAGTAGCCCATCATTAAATTCCTATAAAATCCAGTGGATAGGAGTAAAGCTAGCTTTTAAGGCTACAAAATTGGCAACTGGGGATTTGGGGAAGGAGATTATTGTTGATGATGACTCAGGCGGCATCAAGCTAAGGGAATCACTCTACTCTTAAAAATACTGAAGAAGTGCGAGTTGCTACTGTTTGGTGTCTAGATCAGTTCTCAGTAAGGTTTGACATGAATGATGCGGAAACAACTGGTTCGCACCTACATCGGTGGGGAGCGGAATCTGGTGGTGGGAGCTTAGCAAATGGATCACGCTTTGACAACTTTTGAAGAAAGGCATGAATGAATATCACATTACCTAGAGAGATTATTTACTGACTGACTAAGGATAAGAAGTCACCTTCATATGCATTTCAATATTACTTGAACTAAAGCATCAAAAGTTACATTTCAATAAGCCGCTTACTATCCATCCATGCGCTTAATTCGCACCCAATTTACCTTCAAATAGAAATTAATTACGTGTACTTATTTTCAATGTTCGCTGCCAGTTGACTAGATGAGTAGCACTGCTGTGACACGCATTTGTTCGAACGCATCTCCTAGTTGGAAGGTGGTTAGTGCGTACGAATTTCGTGAAGGATTGGACACCATGGGCTTTTGAGGAGGAAGCCTTCCCTGAACACACCTAAACCGTCATATCTGTAACTCCTTGTTCACCCCCAACCATCATAAACATGTTCTCGTTTAAATCAACCATTCGGTACAAGTATATGTGTCAACCCACTGCACTATAAGCTCAGCAGAGGCAGAAGTGTCATGGCAAACAAATCTTTCCACAATTAACTTAGTGATTGTGGTTTTAACATCAATTACGTGCCTAAATATGAATTCGAGAGTCAACGGGGAGATGCGACTCCGGTAAAAGTACAACTGCATATCTACATTTCAAAATGCAAGATGTCTTTCTCCTACCCCTCTACTCGGTTTCCACCTCTCTGAAGAAGTCACTGTTCTTTTACTGCAGAGCACAAACTTACTGCAGACTGCACTTTTGTAAGACAATCACCCCTAGAAAAAGATAGTCCGGACTTGGCCACCTCTATTTCTATCTGAAATCTGCAACCAAATGTCTGCATCACTTGGGATGCAAACAGAGGCCTGTCGAATTCCAATAACAGGTGATCATCACGACTTGGAGACATACCAGGGAAATAAGGAGGACGAGGTGAGGCAAAAGCAGGTGGAGTCATAGACAGTTGGTCAGTCAATTAGTCAGCAAATGACCCAAAATATATGCCACGTTTTGACTAGATGCTTGAAGGAAACGAAGAACGAACTCGCAGGTGTAGGTAACCTCAAATCACAGTCATAGGATTCAACCGACACCTTCTTAATTGAAAGCTCAATATAAGAACTCACTCAGGAAGACCACGACGACTAACTGATGCATATCATGGCCATAAACAATTGCGGACATTGGATAAGTGGCCATAAGCCATCTTTGAGCCGTTCACTTAAGTGAACTGAACCAAATATCAAACAAACAGCTTATTGGCCTCCAGGCCATCAGCCAATATTTACTTTCAAATGGTAGATGTAAGTCCGTGATCAGGTAAACGCAGATTCTTTTCCAGTTTATGTACATCATCACCAATCAAAACAAAGACGGGAGATCTCTACTTGTCAGTTCAGTTGCCAATTCTAAATAAATTTGCGAAAGTAAAGTCTTCTAAAAATTAGCTTTCCTTAATCTTACTGATCGTAGTTCACAAAGATATTTCTGGTATCAGATAGCATCTTTGGCAGCAATACTTTCACACCACGGTGCATAACTCGGACAGAAATTGCACATTATGCCACGAAGAAATTAAAATGGTGCAAAAAAATTCCCTATTTTTGCTTCAGTTTACTGATTGTACAGCACATTCTAATGTTTCTCACTAGACACATGTATCAACCATCGTTTACTTCCGGTTGTCTTCCATCGATCCTCGCGTCTAGGCATTCGTGAAATAAACACCACATCATTTTCAGGTAAGTTTAGGATGCCTTAGCATCTACAACGCACGTAAGAACGGAACGAAGACGCTGTCACGTCTCACCTCCTCACTCTACTTCCTCGATATTTCTTTAAGTGAGAAGGTCTACCTCCTCGTGGAATCAGCTAATCAGACACTATGCCACATTCCAGTCGAGTTTGGAGCTATCTCAGTATCTACAACGCAATTTGGAAGGGAGAAAAGACAGTGCCTCGTCTTAGCCGCCCGTCCTACTTCTGTAACTACCCTGACAGAAGGGTTAAAAATGGCGTCTACATGCGACAGCTACTTCAGTGCCACTTCCTCCAAGAATTCCGCTAACAACTGAAGCGACACAGATCGTGGCTGTAGACCATTTGGAATAGGTCGGTACGGCTGTGTCTACAGTATCTTCGTGATGGTGTCAACGAAGTGAACACATGATGTCTCCTCCACCTCTCCACTCTAGCTAAATCGAACCCAGACGAATATGACTAGGCTGCACTGAAGTGAAAATAAACTGACAAAGAGAAATAATCGCAAAGCTTTATGCCCACAAAGTTAATTTAAACTCCATCCAATGGATATGATCCAAGTTTGTCTCTTGGACAGGACCTATTTCACCCACCTTTAAGGCTGTAAATTTTGCTACAGGGGATTAGACGAAGGCTAAAATAGTTGGTGATGACTCAACTGGCATTAAGTTGAGGAAAACCCTCCATTCTTAAAAGTTTCGAGGATATAGGGTTAGCTACTGATTAAAAGGTGTCAATATCAACCCTCTGCAAAGATTGACATAAATGAGGAGGAAAGAGCCGATCTACACTTACATTAGCTGAGGATGGAAACTGGTGATGGGAGCCATTTAACAATAAAGACATCTGCCCTGAAGTCTTACCAATAGATGATCTAGTTGGTGGGCACAATGGCAGCCAGACAGATAGAGCATAGGTACTCCAGTTTACGATAGTAGCAACTCGGTTTACATGAAAAAAAAGACATGCGCTAGAGCGGTGACGAGCCTTGTACTTTAGTGCTCCAGCCTTCGGACGCACACGCGCACGCCGTACGCCTAATATAGGTAGATTTTTGGCGGTTATGACCTCTACTTTGAAGGCTGTCTGTCTGTATGGGCAGGTTGAAAGCTCAAGCACATACACCGGTCTGTAACAATGTGTGTCCGACCGTTGGAACTACACATAATGGTTGTCTCCTCCTACCGTGAACACTCACAACATAAACTGATTGCTGAAGATGATGGTTGCAGTTCTAGTTTTTCTGTTTGACGAACTCCAAGCTGTAGGATGGAGACAATTGGCGCTTTCTTAATTGAGGACTCAAAATAATAACTCTGTCAAGAGGACCACAATAATTAACTGATGCATATTATCCGCATAAACAACAGTGGGCATTTGGCAAGTCCCCATTGGTTACCTTCCAGCACTTCACTAAAGGGGGGTTCACCAAAAATCAAACTAAAGACTCTTTGGCTACCAGAGAAGTAATTCTTTGTTACCCTCAACTAGCGGACGCAAGCCCATGATTAGATAGGGAGAGGTTCGCCTCATGACCTCATGAGGTCATGCAATGAGTCTCAAGCAGTTGTCAATCGTCCGCCACAAGGATATTACTGGTATCAAGTAGCATCTTCTGCAGCAATACTTTTACGCTACGATGCATAATTTGGAAAGAAATAGCATCCTTTGCAACAAAAAGAAATCTAAATTGGTACAAAGAACTTTTTATTCTTGGCTCTGGTGTTCTGATTTTGTCCCAAATTTTAATGTCCCTCACCAGAAACATTAATAAGATACCCCTCACTTTCAGGATCCTACCATTGATCCCAGTGGTTAGTCATCCCCACACCAAAACACCACACCACATTCCAGTCCATTTTGAAGTTAAGATTGAAGGTGCCTCAGCATGTATAACGCGTGTAAGAAAGGGAGGAGAACAGTGTCACGCCTCACCTGCCTACACTACTTCCTCCATATTTCTCCAAGGGAGAAGCACTGCCTTCCCTTCGCATTATACAACCAAACATTAAAGCTAACGGATGGTCAGTGAACAAAGTTGCGATGGAAGGAGAGTTTGCATGCTTTCAGTAGCAAAAGTAAATTCCTCAATTTTTCATCCCGTTGAAAAAAGAACTACAAATTATATGACAATGATGTATGCTTTGACTATTTGTTTATTCCTTCATTTTGGATTCATGCACACTTAATTCTTTGCCTCCTTACTTTCGCTGGGCGGCATGGGCTTCGTGTCACATCACTAGGGTCTCCTCCCTCGGCCGTTCTGTACATCAGCAGTGCTGTTTCCCTCCAGGTTTTCTAACCTCTTTCAAATTTAGAGAAGCTTCGGGGCACGACATTAGTGGCACTGGAAGACAAACCCAGTCCTCAAGAACAATCATTTTGATTCCTACTACTGTAAGTTAAACCTTAATGTGTCAGACGAAGGGCTTATGCTACAGATGGGTAAATCTCTGACGACTCCCCGCAGAAGTGTTGAAAATGACGTGAACATTCGGCAACTATCCAAGTTCTACCTTCCATAAAAATACTATTTGCAACTGAAGCGATACTAGTCGTAGTCACGAACCATCTAAGTGTGCATTACTGAGCTGTCTACAGCATCTTTTTGAGGATGCCAATTAGGTGGACGCACGAAACCACCTCCACATCTGTACTAGCAAAGCCAATACAAACCCTTCTCTTTCATTATACCTTCTTTCCTACTCATAGAGATCTCGGGAGCTACAAAGCTTTCAGAAAAATACTACCGAAAAATCCTCAATAAGGTAATTTTTACTGCAGCAATGTCATGAGCCTAATTGATTACCGCATGCATAAGTAAAGTCAGACATCCAGTCACTTATTCAGTTGGCAACTAAAAAAAAAAAAAACATTCCAATTAGTCTTTTGTTTATAATATGTGAGATTTTATTATCTATTTTTTAATACGTGTTAAGCAATAATTTTCCACTTTGTGCTGTCACAATTGAATGCACGGGACTAGGGCGCTTGCAAGGGTGCTATCAGCTTACCTCAAAAAAGTGCGGGCAATTATAGAATGTAGAGTAATGACCCTCCGTGGGAGGCACATAGTCAGGTAGTCCCATCAAAAAAAACTAAAATGTAAATTTGTTTAAACTCATGAGTCATGTCTCCGACCCTGGCATCTAGTGAGTCCTCGCCTTGGTAGGAACATAGTGCATGATTGTTGGAAAAGTGATAGCAATTAAGTTTTAAAGGCGATGCAGACAATGGGCTATTGTTCGGAGTCCTTTTTTGACTTTGCATGTACTTCTCTTCATTTCAAGCATCCCCTTACAGGGAATGTTCGTATTTATTCGGGAAACACACCTCTTTAATTGAGCAGGCCTAAATTTTAAGGACACCTGATTATTTTGGGGTAATTTCGAGGTAGCACCTATCTTTATTCCCAACTGGGAAAAAAATAAAAAAAAACAAATATTTCAAAGGTATGCTTTCGAAAACCCATATTTACTCATTACTAGTTTCGCTAGAAATCTTAGTGAATAGCAGCCTGTTTTAATGCGCTATAATTGTGAGGTCTGTGCTTATGATACACCAAGAGACAAGATAAAATTGCCTTCACGACGATTTAGCTAGACTGCACATTCATCCAAATTATGCGATGGAATACTGTAGCTCCCTCAAACTTCCCTGAAGAGGAAAGAAGACACAATACTCGGGCAGAGTATGCTTGGCCTATGCACGAATGTCTCGGGGCCTGCCGGTGCCGTCCGGGGACCAGGCAGCCTGGTGGAGGTATGCGAATTAATCACACAAACTAAAACGTTACACAGCCCCTCCTCCGTGAGCAACTTCACCGGCCCTCCTCTCAACCAACCTTCCGCGTCGGCTATCAAAACGCAGCCGGTACGGTAAGACAAATAGCCGCCGATTTACCACACCAGTCATCGACTTTGCGTGCAACTGAGAAGATACTAGACCGCAACGTCACCGATGCTTTGCCCTTTTTAGGAACCGCATTGGACATTCATTCAAATCTCGTACTAGCCCACCCTGAGCGGAGCATAGTCAAGTAGTTCATAGCAGAAAAAAAGAACGAAACTGTAAATCCATTTGAATGTACGAGTTGTTTCGCCTACGCCAGAAACTGTCTCACTCGTTTATGCTTGCCTTTCACCAATGCAGCAGAAAGATTATCAGATAAGCTGAGTAGAGCCATAGGTATTGCAACGGTACTGTCATTAGCTAAATGGAGACAATGGGATATTACACTAGATACCGCCCAACGCTTAATAAAGAACGTTTAATTTTTTTCTTCGTATTTTTTAAGAACAACATCAATTTTGTTCAATTCCGCATTAGATAACCGAAAAGTTGACTTGCTTTCCGGTGCAGGCCGTTGCGATGACTTGGTGCAACTTGGGGAGGCATATAGAAAGGCATTTTTATTTGCACATCGGAGTTGCCTGCCACTCTCCAAAAGCCCCCTCCTGATTCCAGAGCAGGGAATTTTAGGGAATTTTAGCCTTCGTGTACCCATCCCATTTCTCATTGGTCAATATCACGATACCAATAGTTTCTGCAATAACAGGACTGTTCAAAAGGTGCTGTGGATGCTTGCTACCTCCAGAAAAATGTCAATGATCAACATACAGACGCTTCCATTATGGAAGATAACTCTCGAATGGCCTGAACATTGTACCCTTTAACCAATCTCTTCTGACGGGTCGGGACTAGTAGTCGCTACAGTCCCAAGGTCAATTCACAGCCATAAATATGCGTGACTAAGTCGGTCGACGAATCTAGTCGTAGCCGCAGTCTCTAACCTGCACGCACCTACAGGTCACACCACTGTGTTGACTTACCAGTGTTAACTAATAAAGGCATCTGTCCCGAAGTCTCGCTCGTTGATTGTCTAGTTGGTGGACAGGAAGGGATCCAGTCAATTCGGGTACAGAAAATCCATTTCAGAATTACAGCAAGTCAGCTTACGACAAAGGGCTAAAGTACAAGAGAGTGGTAACAGCTGCTGTACTTTAGCCCTCCAACCACCAGACGCCTACACGCGCCTCTGCTTTGAAGTCTGTATCGCTCTGGTCTATCGGCTGGAAAAGCTAATATGCACAACAGGCTGTAAAAGTAGACACAAGATCATCGGAATACTTTTTGAATTAATGATTAAAAATGGTGGATGAAATACAAGTTTGCCTGCTTGAGCAGCTGAATGCGGTTTCTCGTCAAATTTGGTGCGTAACATTGAAAGTGAGATAGCACAGCTTCATCGCGAAGTGAATTTACTGAACACCTTCAATGATCCCAAAGGTAAACCAAGTTAGGAAAACTATCCGACTTTGACAGACAACACGCGAATTTGTGATTAAAGCATCAAGAACTGCTTTTAGCGATGATTGGTGTAAGTTGTGATGAAACAGCTGGTTTACACCTATATTAAATGGCGATGCAAAGTCGTCGTGAAATCTAAGATCTTCGAGAAGCATTGAGCCTTGAAGACTGTCGTTTGATCGCTATAAAATCTATCATCCACCCTAGATTACTTGCTGTTGGGCCATTTGACTGACTGATATATGACAAGGAATAGACTTTTTAATAGCAACAGAATAAACGCATCATTGGTTACCCCAAACCATCCACTTACTTCAAAGCACCTCCAAGGCACTCACCACCAGCCTGCATGCCTTCTGTGCTTGCGTGGTGTACTGTAGCAGGTGTTCGCTTGCTAAATGCCAAATAACAACTACGTCTAAGACAAAACACGGCACAACTGGAAGGGAAGCAGGAAGACCATCTTGCAGATTGACCGCTAGAACGGGTGAGTCAGCCAAATGAAAGAAAATCCTATTTCTAAGGAACCTAGGGGAATATCCTATCCCACAGATGCTGCAGGGCCCACAAAGTCAGACATACCATCGAAATTAACCACATTTCAATGTGTACCTTCCTTCTTCCTTAGAGCATCCTTCTTGGCTCTGCCAACAGTGATGTTTCTGCTTCAGTCCTCATAATTCGCCCTTCTAATAGAATGAAAGCTGTATTATATGGGAAAGGGTTCTCTTTGACTTAGTCCAAATGGAATATTTCAAGCATTTAACTTCATTGAAACAAAATTCCAACGAGACTTAATGGAATAAATCTACTGGCAAATGCACAGTGAACTTAATGGTGTAGCAATTGGAAGTGTGGAAAGGTCCTT